ATGACCTGTGTCCTAGAGACATGTTTGAATAGGAGATGGTATTGGAAAGAGGGTATAGCAGCTTTGAATCAAAACTGCTAGAAGTGGAAGCAAAATGAGCAGGCTTTTTATGAGTACGAGTTTGTTTTCTCAAAGCAATGGGAAGAGATCCTGAAGAAGGAGGATTACGAAGAGGACTGCTTGTAATATATGGAGAAGAAGTTGGGGACGAAGATGGAGAATTTGATTCAGAAGGAGAATGTGGGGTATAATCTGGATCAGTGGTTTCATGAACATTGTGGTCCAAAGGCAACAAAGGTGAAGCTTCTTATGTGTAAAAAATGGATGAGTGGTTGCGAGTTATTAACATCAGAGGAAGAGGAGAAAGTGGAAATGGTGTGAGTGAGGAAAGGGAATTTAGTCTCATTCAATTGGACATCTCTACTAGTGAAAACCTATGCCTTTCAATGTCATAGAATTTAAACCCTTTGATCCCAAAACTATACCCTAGAAAATTGCTTTCACTGCTCTAGGGGAAAGCTTTAGTTTATGTGTGTCAACAACAGTAGCAAAATCAAGGTAACCAAAAACTCTGAGACTGCTATAGTTAGGTGGGATTCCATACAAACATTCAAATGGTGATTTGTCTTCTAAAACTTGTGTTGGAATTTGATTAATCAAGAATGCAGCATGGAGAACCAAGTGATCCCAGAAGCTAGGTGGCAACCCTAATTGAAATTTCAGAGACCTAGCAACATTCAAAAAATGTTGATGTCTCATTTCAAGTACAATCCCTTTGCATAAAACTCAGTCATATTGAATTCTTGACCCTGATAAGTTCTAATGACTTTAACTTGTTTCTCAAATTGTGTTTTAACCATTGCATAGAAAGCTTGCAATGAAGAACGTGCTTGAGACTTGGAACTCAACAAATAAAGCCAAATACAATGGCTGTGATCATCCACAATAATCAAGAAATACTGAAATCCATCATGAGAAACAACATCCACAGGACCCCATAGGTCTGCATGAATCATGTCAAACACAGACTTGAACCTAGACAAACTTCTAGGAAATGGTAAACTTTATGTTTTGCCAAATGACATATCTCACAATCAAAACTCACAGGTGTACTAATCTCATTACAAATCTTATTCACTGCTTTCAATCTAGACCAAGATAAATGGCATAATCTTTGGTGCCATAAAATGGATATGGAACAGGTACTAGTGTTCACTCCAAGAACTTTGGGTCTGCACTCCAAGAAGATACATGCCTCTACTTACTGGGATTAAACCATTCTTATATTGAGATATGAGGTCCTGTATATGACAAAAAGTGGATTGAAAAAGGAGTGAGACTGGAATTTTTTTGGTAAGTTGACTCACTAAGATTAAGTTGTAAGAAAAGATGGCACCAGAGGCACATTGGTTAATAAGATACCACAAGGAAGCTTTACTATTCCTATATGAGTGGCTGGGGCATGATGACCATTAGGCAAAGTCACAGACTATTATCAACTTGCCTATATCTAGGGATGGCAATGGGTCGGGTTGGGGCGGGTTTTGTCAAACCCAAACCCATGGGTTTATCTGCCAAAAAAACCCGGGGTAAAACCCGCTGGGTTTGAAAAACTCAAACCCAACCCAACCCGCTGGGTATCCGCGGGTTCATGAGTGCCCGTGGGTTGTTGTGGTAAAAAATTTACAATAACAAGTTTCTTTCAAAATAAAAGTTTAACATAAATTTTCTCATACAAATTATTCATACAAAAAACACTAATCTAGAGCATACAAGCAAACCGCAAATGATCAATACAAATTGTTCAAAATTAAAGATAAACATCTATAAACCACAAGATTAATTGAAAGTTTCTTCCTCGTCAACTAATTTTCTTCACTTTCCACTCCATAATATCAACTTCATTCTAAACAATTAGAAAGAACAAATTATACATGTCTCCAGAAACATAAAGAATATTAGTTGTTTAAGGAAGATATATTATTTAGAATATTAAATATATCGGGAAAGTAATTATATGTGTGTGGGCAGGTACCCATGGGCGGGTTTACCTAAACCCAAACCAACTCGATGAATAGTGTAGCGGGTTTAAATCCGAACTCGGCCCAAAACCCGTCAACACGGATTTTACCCGCGTTGACCGGGTTGGGTCGGGTGGGTACCCGTGGGTTCGGGTTTTGTTGCCATCCTTACCTATATCTAAGAAAATGTTTGATAGAATATATAATATGGTCACTAGCCCCTGTGTCTAATACCAAAATACATCACCAACAAATGATTTTAGGTTTGAAAGTGCAAATGTACCTGCCATTGCAGTGCTAATCCTAGTCAGGACATAATTAGCTTGGCTCGTGTTATGAGCAAAAGGAGACCGAAGTAGTGCCCTAAACCATGTAAGTTCTTCAAAGGTGAAAACAGAGAAAGTTGGTGACCTTGTGTCATGTTGGCTAGCTAGGCTAGTAGGACTGTAGTTGCTTGCTCCTCCTGAAGAGTTCATCTCTGGGGGCATTGACATCCATTGAGCCAGCAAAACCCCTTCCTCTACCTAGATTGTTGCCTGATTTATGAGGGTTTTTGGGCAACAATCCATTTTTCTTCTTAAGCTTCCAATAGTCCTCCTTAACATGGTTGTCCTTGCAATATCGACAGAATAATCCAGTTTGTTGTTCATAATCAATAGGACCTTGGTCCCTAGGCTGGCTGTATTGAGTTCTAGAGCCTGCTTATGTTGTTGCAAGAGCAATAGCTTCTTCTGACTTCCCGGCATTAGCGTTAGCACCATTAAGTTGCCTCTCGAGCTGAACAACATAACGATACACACTATCCAAATATGGAAGTGGATCTAAGATCAATATTTGAGTATTAACCTGTTGATACTTTTCATTCAACCCAAGCAAGAACCTAATAACCTTTCCCCCTCTCTTGATACCTCATAACAGTCTCTTAAGTGCGAGATGCACAATCACAGTAGGGAATGGGAATGTAGTTTTCAAGTTCATCCCAGCAAAGCTTTAGATTAGTATGATACTGTCGAATGGTTTCGTTTGCTTAACTAGATCTATTTTCTCCCAGAGATTAGCAATTTGCACAGAATCTCACTGAATAAATTTACTCTTCAAGTAAGTACAAGGTTCATAAGCAACTTTAATATTTCTCAAACTAGGAACGATATCCTCAGACACAGAATTTCTAATCCAACAAACCACAATACCATTTACACGATCCCAGGTCCAATAGCTTGGATCAGTAGCAGGAGGTGCCTCGATTGTACATGCGATGAACCCTAGTTTGTTCTTGTGTCTGAGAGCAACTTCCATGGACTCACTCCATAAGAGGTAGTTGTCATCTTTAAATTTGAAGTCGATGACGGGAAGAAATGAGTTGTCACTTTGGGCAAGGTATAAAGGGTTTTAATAAGGGTCTTCATAACGAGGTGATGAGATCTCTTTGTCCTTGCTTTCCTTCTCAGCCGAGGCTTGTCTATCTGCCATGGTGATGCTTCATGATAGCTCAGCAAAAGGAGATGAGGAAGAAAGGTAACGAGGTCATGAAGAAATCAAACGGGTATCAGCCAACCAGACACTAATACCATGATAAAGTCTGTATCCTAGCTGTAGAAATGCTAGGATTTTAGAGAAGAAGTGAAGCCAAATTTGTGGGAATCGGCAGAATGCCTTGTCCGATTTTCATTGATCAGTTTATATACAAAAGCTTAATTACAAAAAGAGTAAAGCTATTGTAGTTTAACGTCTAACTCTAACTAACTATCAAAACTAACCAGTGATGAAGCGCCAAGTGTCAAAAACCAAGAACTAATTACACAGTTCAAATCCTTGGCAAATGGCGTCACTTGGTCTCTTATTTATTTACTCGGTTTACATAGCCGAGTCGGGTGAAAGGAAGCCCAACTCGGTTGACCAGCCTCTTCATCCTGTAACAGCTACAACAGTTTCTGATTCTTTTTCAACGGTGATCTCCACTACATTTGTGCTTCATAATTGGTTTAAATGTGTTTGATTGGGGTTTCATCTAACTATCTGCATATGGGTTCCATCGACTACTGCATTTTGTAGTGCTCGAGCTATTTACACTATTGTAGGCTATTGATCAATTTTATTCTCTCTTTTCGTTTCTTCCCTTCATAATGGTTGAACTAACACTGTGATTTGAGTCTTTACATGAATTGTATCTCATGTTGGTATTATAGCTTTGTGATATTGCGAATTTGCGATTCATGTTGTTGGCATTATTTTGTATGTTCATTTTGTAGGGGTTTGTTCCACTACTTTCAACTAATAATCGGGGTGATCTCTAAATTTCTCTCTATAACTGATTGAAGTTAGTAAGGGATTCTCCACATGCCGAAAAGGAGTCGAGATTCAAGATAGGCTATCAAGGACCTCCCTAAGTAGCAATGATTTGCTTTGTTGCTCCAGTTTTTAACATGGTTAGTTCTATGATTTTTTTACCTTTATAGGGTTGAAGTCATAGATATTGTCCATGTCGTACATGTATCAAAGAGTTGCCTATTGTGTGGTGAAAAACGTTTTATTATCGATGATTCGACTAATTTTTGACCGTTATCCCTTTCTCTTATATGTATTATTACGGTTAACCAAAAAGACTTTGAATTCGTATAAAACTGTTACTTTATGGAAATATCTTTGAAAAAAAACCCCTAACTTGTGGGACAATTTTTCAACCATTTTTTGGCATCACTCCTAGGCCCTAGCCCACGACTATCTCACCAACCGACCCTTTTTTCCCTTGCCCCTCTATTTTTTACAAGATTTTGTTTTTGAAAGCACAAGATTTTTCATTATAAGGACAAACAAGAAAACTATATGGTATAATATTATAATACATTCATTTCATCAATACATGCATTTGTATATAAATGTATTCCATGCATCAATTTAACGTACTCCGAAACCAAACAAGACTTTATCACTTTAACAAGCATATTTATTTCTTCCCCATATAATAATTAAGTATGGTTACTTCTTTTTGACTCATCAAGTATAGAATAATTATTTTGTAATCACGATTGTTCATACTCTTTATTACTTTCTTGATGCTAATAACCTCGAAAGAAACCCCATCCAATGATCCCTGGCCTCAATATTCAGTCGCCATAGTTTCTTCTTTTGCTCGATCGACCTCTACTCTTTTATTTTCTCAGCAGATGAAAACTTCTCTTTCCCATTCGGTTTCTTAACTGCAACACAAACACAAAAGATTAGAAAATGTGGATTTTACAAATATGTGATTCCCATTTGGTTTGCATGTGGGGCGGAGCTATTAAGGGTGGGTCACATTCGGCTGGTGGGATGGTTCTTTTTGACCCAATGCGGACACTCCTTCTGGCTAGAGGGGTCCAATTTTCTCAAATGGATGGTCCTGTGGTGGTGGAATTGTTTGTGCTTAGGGAAGCTATTATTTGGTGTATGGAGCAAGGTTTGTCGGAGGTCCGATTTGAGGGCGATGCAAAGGTGATTGTTGACAAAATTAATCAAGCCGACACAAGTGATAGCCGGTTGGGTGCTGTTCTGGAAGAGATTGCTCATTATTTTCGTACTCAGCCTGGTTTTAGTGTGCGTTTTGTAGGTCGGGAGAACAATAGGGTAGCTCATTTGGTAGCTAGGAAAACCCTCTCTTTGTATCCGACTATGAGTCGCTTCTTTGATTTCCAGACCTGGCTGGTTTCCAGGATGTAACTGTCTATTTTTTCGATCAATACATGATATCTTTTGAAAAAAAAAAAACTTATAATACAGTACTAACTACTAACCATATGGCCTGCTGGTGGTTCCGTCGCAACACTTGCTACATTGGAATCCAAGATTAGCACGAGCACAGCAATTACCTTTCCCACAATCCTTCCCTGTTGGTCACATTTGTGTTCCCATTCAATTTGAGGTTCGGTAAATTGGCCCACAATACGAGAAGTTTTTTTTTTTAAACAATTAATTATAATGCAAAAGAACGATCATACTATATACGGCACAATTTCAACCACACAACTAATTCTAAACCAACTAGATATTGACTCGGTATGAGAGAGTTATGCGACAAATATGTTATGAGAGAGTTTGTGGTCAAAACATCGTGATTAGTGAAACTTTGATTAATTCCTAATAATTTTGTACTTGCACAAATAGATCGACTGCAAGGAAATAAAGGTCGATCGAATTTATTGTTTCTGTTTTGTTACGTTCAACAAAGAGGTCGACCTTGTACATGAAATGGTCGACCTCTTTGGCAAGCAAACAATAAAAAAGGTCGACTTCATTATTAAATCGTTCTTAAAAGGGTCGACATTTATTGCATTACCTTGTCAACATCGAATTTAGAATTATCTCCGCAAATAGTAAAAAGGGTCGACCTATCAAGTACGTGGTCGACCGCTTAAACACCGTATCAGTATTGGATAAGGACTCCAAGACTAGAAAGGTATTAATAGTAAACCCTAACTTGTCTAGCACTTAATTCGTCCTAATCGCGTCCTAATAAAGTACAGACATCGACAGACATAAGCACAAAATTCAAAGGTTGTAAGCTTACTGAAAGCGGTCGACCTTTTAATGTAAGCGGTCGATCGCAATATTAACATTTTCCTCTACGTTTCACTTCTAGAGGGATGGATTGATATGCTACCGACTCTTCTTCTATATGGTCGACCTCTTATTGAAAATGGTCTGCCTCATTGCAGATATGGTAATTACAATTTTGGTAATGACTACCATAGTCGACCATTTTCTTTTTACAGTCCACCATTTTATATATGACTAAATTGAAAGGTCGGCATCTTTTCTATTGTGGTGAATCATTTATTTTATGACTGCCTCAAAACGATCGACTAAGTTGTTGTTGCGGTTGACCATTGGGGTAATGACTAACTTAAAACGGTCGCCCATCATATGGTAATGGTCAACCGTATATTATCAGAGTGACCACGGTAGTGTAACCGGTCAACCAGAAGAGTACATAGGTCGACCGGACTGTGCAAGTCATGGTGTCTTGCATTTCACCATAGGTGTACCCTAACTTTTAAGGCTTTCATCGATGCATTAATCCTTATCATAAATTAATAATAGGGATAGTATTCTAGTTTTACCTAAACTTTGATGTAAAAGACAAATTTGGCATGGCCTTTTAAATAATACAAATTTTCCTAATTGTGACATAAACGAACACATTTGGCCTGCAATTTGGATTGACCATCAAATATTTCTTTCATCCATAACTTAGCATTCGGTGCTGACTTGGCTACAACGTGATTTCCACTTCATTTTCTATAAAAAAAAATCAATGTTTGAAAAAATTAAGGACCACAAATAAATTACCTTCAAGCCACGTTGTAGCCACATTAGCACCGAATGCTAAGTCATGGATGAAAGAAATGTTTAACCGTCAAAATTGATGGTCAATTCATATTTTAGGCCAAATGTGTCCATTTCTTTTAAAGTTGGGACAAAATTGTTTTATTTAAAATTTCATGTCAAATTTTTCTTTGCATCAAAGTTCAGACCAAAATAGGGTATTATATGTAAATTATATAACATTCAATCTCAAAAGACATTCAAGACTTTGATACAAACCATTTTAATTGATCGTCATTTCACCTCAATAATTTAACTTGCAATCTTGCATGGTATAATAGATGAGAGATTGAATAATATAATTTATTTTATTTAGTGTTAGTGTTGGGAATGGAGCGGCGCGAGTAACTAAATATCCATATCCGTCCTGCACTTATCTAAAGTATCACTATGAGAAAATATTAGTTATGATTAGTCAAAATAGGAGAGATAAAATAGATATTAAGACAAATTGAGATAGAACGAAACGGAGCGAAGCAGAGAGGAAGTAGTATCCATGCCCACACCATGTTACTATGAGTAGGGTGTTACACGCCGAACACGAATCAGATTGTGTAATAACTGACGAGATGGGTTCAATATGGTTATTGCCAAGGGAGAGTAATAAAAAAAGTTTAAAACCAGTTTAATGACCAAAAGAATCGCCCACAAAGACAAAATGTTCTACCAATAACGTTCTTTCAATTTTTTATTGTTGCAAAAAATCTTCTCCTAGAAAGTGGGAGCGAATCTCTTGCATCAATTTTTTTTTGTTGCAAAAAGTTCTTCTCCTAGAGAGTGGGAGCGAATCTCTTGCATCATTTCAGAGTGCATAACCATGCATAATCTATCACATCATTGTCACTTTATCATTTACGAAGGCTTATAACCTTTTTCCTATAAATTTTAACAGATGATATCTCTTTTACTTTAAGTCATATTTTTTTTTTTACACAGATAAATCATATTAATTGTGCTCTTCAAAATTATACTCACTTTGATATATTTTGCAAAAAATAAATTGAGACATTTATTACTAGTCTATACCATAGTGGTAATGCTGGGTATTATATAAAATCATACCATGTGGTATGGAAGTGTACCATGGTGGTACGAAGTACGAACATACCAGAGTGTATAATGGTTGGATTCATAAAGTAGGAATATACAAACTGTCATTTACCACATTCAAGATTCAATGTTGGTTACCACTATTTACCACCCCTATACGAGGGTGGTATAGAGTGGTATATTTTAGTCTTTTATTTTTTTTCAAAAATTTATAGATCCAATAAATCACGATGAACTCGTTTAGTATGTACAAAAAAATTCAAATTTCGAGTTAAAAACAAAGGTGGTACTAGGTGGTACCAAAGTTGCAATGAGTGGTATCACTGGTATGAAATTTTTTGTCGAAATATATTGAAAATGGATATCATTTTTTAGATCACAACAAACTCGTCCAATTGTGCTAATTTTTTTTTAAATCCAAGTTATTATGAAGAAGATAAGAGGTGATTAAAAAAATTAGGAAAAATAGAAAACCATTAATTTTCATCTCTTAGATCTAAAACTTCTGTCCCCACTCAAAACTAAGAGCCCAGATTTTGTTATGCAAGGGTGCACCCTATCTTAGACCCTAGAGAGCTACATGGTTCGTTTACTTGGTGTATTTGCAAATATAGATATTTGGTAAATGTAGACATTTGTCAGATGTAGATTTTTAATAATGTAGGCATTTCCAAAAATGTTATTTGTTAAAAAAATTTTAGATGATTCATTTGTAATGTTACCATTTAGCTCTTATATGTAATATGTTTCATTTTCTTGTTTTTTATCCTAATAAAATCATCCACGAAAACAAAATTCATTTTGCATCCAACATGTAACATATTATTTGTTACAGTCATATATAATAGGTCAGGCTGCTATACTTTTGGAGTATATTGTACTTTGGGTACTCATAGTGAGATATGTTCATTTAGACCATGAATTAAATCATGTTTGGGATATGCTACTATACCGTAACCTCTAATAGATAAACTTCAGATCCAATCTTACGAAGATCAATTTAATAAAAAATAATAGTTGACGATTATGATTTGTCGAAATATTAGAGTAGCGAACCCATAGAATATCGATGAAGGAAACTTACCCCATGCAAGAAGCCGCTTTTTGGTGGTGTCAACAACGATCATCTGCTGATTCTTCTCTTGAGAAACTGCATCGAAACGAAATAATATATTTGGTCTCAATAACTTAAGTGAAGAAAGAGGAAGAAAGTTAATAAGAGAAATTTTACAATGCTATATAGTATTGGTGTTATAAGATTTTGCCTTTATGATACAACTTAAAATTGTACATTTACGTTATGGTACAACTTCAGATTGTACCTATACTTTTTGTACAAATTCTTTTATGGTACAACTTGAACTTGTACCTTTATGTGATGGTACAACTTCAAGTTGTAAAGTTGTACCATAACATAATGGTACAAATTGCTTTATGGTACAACCTAAACTTATACATTTAATATTATTGTACAACTTTAAATTGTACATTAAAGCACCGATACTATATAACATAGTAGAAGTGCTCAGTTAATAAATGAAACTTACCGGGAGAAAGAAGCAGCTTCCTGGTAGTTGTAGTAGTGATCATCTGTTGATTCTTCTCGTGGAAAGCTCCATTCAAAGGCTCGTTGGAAGCAAAAGCACAAACAAGCACCAAGACGTGAAGGGCAAATACAAACTTAATGATTTCCATTTGATTAATTGCTTTTGCAGATAGCTAACTGAACTGGTGGTGGCTAATCTATATATAGAATTTTCACGTACAAGTCTCTCAATTTTGGTGGTGTGGGCAAGTGCTAATTTCACCCTCAATTTTGATGCTCGAGAGATCGGGCCGGACAAGACCCCGAAGGACACTGAACTCCATTCAAAGGTGCAAGTTAGGTTTACATCGATCGGTCATCGGTGTGGAATCATATTACAAATTCAATTGATAAAAATGGCGAAGTGGTGTAGACGGTCCGTAATTATATGTATATTCTGTTTTGGAGTGGCTTTTTCCATCTTGTATGGACGTGAAGGCAGGCAGGAGTGCATTCATATATATGAATTTTTACTTCTACTGTATAGTCATAAGAATAACAATGAGTAGATATAATATAATGTTGAAGGACTAAATAAATTATAACTATTATTATTGTTACCCACGTGGTTAGTCCACAGGGATGTAGAGAGGCAGTTCAGTATAATAGGTGATTCAATTTTCGATACATATTACAGAAAAGTATTTATAATACTTCTCTAAATAATCTAACCCTAATAAAATTTGGTAAAGAATAATGTTATATACCAGGTCCAGCCTGCAAGCCCATACACTGTGTGGAAGCACATACACTGCAACAAATCATCGGATTCAAGTCAACTAACATTTACTATTATTATCAGTCTTATTATTTCTACTATTATTGGAGCCCTCGACCAGGTTTAATTAGGGGAGGGGCTAGTATGCTGACATTATTTTGTTAGCATGGTGTCTAAAACTGTAATTTTCAAGTGATATTTTTAGGACATATATGTAAAAAATTAGGTACTAAAAATTAAGATTTGTTAAGTTCTGGTACTAAAACTATAATTTTATATGTGAAACCACATGAGACCTTCCACAAACTTTAGAAAAGAAACCACAACCTTATCACACCATAAGTTTTTTAGAGCAGCAAGTCACATTAAGCAGACCACAAGTTTCATAAAATGCACCACAAGTTCATTAAACAGATCACATGTCACATAAAACACATCACAAGTTTCTTAATACTGGGCCTATTTGTAAATTTCAAAAAGTTGAAGTTTATAAATGTAAGAAGAAAAGACATTAGGTATTAAATGTAAAATTTCATCAATATTTCAGGGACTTAAATGTAACAAAAAATAATTTTAGATACCAAATATTAAGATATATTAAGTTCAGGTACTAAAACTATATTTTTGTATGTAAACACCTATAAAAGCAACGTAGATGAAAGGAGGAAAGGGAAGGAGGTTTACTATATATAATACACCTATTAAAAGTGTTGGCACCATATCTCTTCTTAATTAGGATAATTATTTGTGATTATTGTTATTATCATTAAGTGCTTGGCAGAGGAAAATAATATTGGGAAGTTGGGGTTTGGGGAGGAGGGCAGGCCATGTAGATTTTATCCAAATTCAAATAGATCCATTAATTATGGGCAAGGTATGGGTGAAATATACATGAATTTGAGGATTTATAGATGAATTTGGGTAGGGTAATGATCTTGCTTCCATAATATAAACGGGTATGGATTGTGCATGAATATCCATTTACTTGATGGTGTTTTAACTATACATATAGAAATTGGACCTTTTGGTAAAAAATTAAAAAGTGCAGGTATCAAAATGTAATTCAAAAAAAATTTAGGTACTAAAATATAATTTTTCATTGATATTTTGAGGCTTAAAATTGAATTTAGTTAGGTACTAAATCTAAAAATCTATTAAGTTTAGGTACCAAACTGTAATTTGTATATGGGTATGGGTACAAACCCAAATACATGGATTAAAAACTCAACCCAACCCAAATAAATGGGCATTGATATATACTCATCAAACTCTACTCAGTTATCATGTATCTAGATTTCAGACCCAACTCAATTGGGTTTAGAACTTTAGATAGTAAAATCCTCATGGGTATGAGCAAAATTGACATCCCTAGCCCATGGGATCGTTATGGCCAAGTAGTGTCGTGTTTAGTTCTTCTTCAAATCTCAGTCTAATTCTTCCTTTATTTTTTTTCCTTGATCACATCCTATTATGTAAATTCGGGTGCCAAGATCCTTACCTACAACATGTATGCAACTCTGAAATTATTTCTTAAACAGCAATCCAATTTTTCTCCGAATTGAACATCGAACGAGTTTTTCTCGAACCAAATCACCAACAACTTGTTTGGAGCCTTAGCTTCAACCTATCGAAGAAGGACGCGTACGCGTAACAATATGTCTCATTAACCGTTGAAAAAGGGAACCATTATGGTGATAGCCTTCAAATCTCTTATCAAAAATAAAAGAAAAAAACCATTTGTAGTATGAATGTCTTGTCATTTGGAGAATTTGATAGGTGGCTGATGTTGGAACATTAACAGCAAAAAACAGAAGCAATTTTGTTCCAACACGGTGACTTAATTACCTCTTTCCTGATGCGTCCACTACCCTCTCTCCCCTCCATCCATATCATAGAGATTACGGGCATATGATAGAGCACCGCCCTGCTGAAAATGAACGGTATGCAGAAGAGCAGAAGGGTACGTCCGTCGTTTTCGATTTTGATTGAAACTCTTCCCGCCTGCCTGCCTGCCGGTCATCAACCTAACTCGATCGTACGTTGACAAATCAAATTTCTTGCCGCCCAATTCAATGATCGATCGAATATAGTCACGAGAAAAGAAAGAAACGCAATGCGATATTAGTCTACATACAGGACAAACCAACATTATTAGTAGGACCGAAGATATATATGTACGACCAATAGAAATTGACTTTTATCATGCGAGCGTGTGTATATAAACTATAAGCAAGTATGCCCACACGACAAACTAATTCCCCAAATTTCTCACAAAGCCTCAAACGTCAAAGCACAGAATTACCAACCCTCCAAGAGATTGATTATTAATTACTTCTTCCATTATTTTTCTGCCTCTCGAAGCGAGACATAGAGAAGCGATGGGGAACTGCTGCTGCACAGCTGCTGTGCCGGCGGCGGGGAGTGTGGGAGGACGGCGGCGGCGGCGGGGAGAGTCTTCGTCTCGTCGTCACAGAGGGATCAAGACGGTGGACGTGGAGGAGTATCACTGCGAATTCTCTTCAGGGGATCAGAAGTCCGACATTTGCATTTGCGTTGTCACATGGAACATGAACGGCCAGGTTTGTTATGAAGATTTGGCGGAGCTGGTGGGGAGCCATAATGCTAAGGAGAGGAAGTATGAGCTGTTGGTGGTTGGTCTCCAGGAAGCTCCTCGCAGAAACATTGCCCGTTTGTTGCAGGCTGCTCTCGCCAACACTCATATGTGAGTTTTCTTTAGCTAACTAGTATGAATCTATCTTATTGATTGTGAAAAATATATTAAAATCAATTTAGATCATTGATCATATCAAAACAGTGGTAACCGGCTCTATTATTAGTCATCACTTTTATTGAACTTTTACGACTACTATTACGTAAAATATACATTCATTACGTAAAGTTTATGAAATGACAAATCTTTCTTACGGAACAGGTACATCATAAGCGTTACGTAAGACTTTTGTAACGAAATTTCACAACTGTCACGTAAAATGCACATCCATTACGTAAAGGTTACGTAATAATTGTTATTTTTACGTAACCGTTAAAGCAGAGGCGTTACGTAAGACTTCCTTGATGACATAGGCGTAGCCAGGGGTGTTTGCCCTTGTCCCGGGACAGGGGTAACTTTTTGGGAGGGAAAAAAAAACCCAACATATATTTTTACGGATAGAATTAAACACTTACAAGTAACATAAGGATGTTTTAACATTACACCATAACTCATTACTTGTTCATTAATTCACAAAAAATAATTAAATTATTGGTTTCTTTCATGACACTATTATTCGACAACAGCTTGCATTAGGTATTATAGCTAATGAGAGATTTGTTGGTTTGAAAAGAATTGATGAATTATCTCGAGTAATGGTACTAGAGACAAAAGTGCATATATTAGATAGAGCTATATTAAGAATAAGCTTCGAAGTCGAATTGGCAATGAGTTTGTTAATAATTGTTTAATAGGATACATTGTAAACGACTCACTTAAGAGCGTAAACAATGAATGCATTTTACATTTCTTTCATAATATGAAAACTCGTCCGGGTTATTTATGCAAACAATAATTGTATTAGTCAGTTTTTTGTTTCTCTATGAATGAATTATTTAGGTATTATTAGTTTTCATTATAGTTATTAAATATTATATATATTTTGAATAGAGGACAGAGGTAGTTTGAAATCCTGCCTCCGCCACTGTTTGATGACTTAGTACTTTACGTAATGCGAGGTTAACATTAATTACGTAAAATGGGCATCCATTATGTAAGAATTCCATAATAATCTTTTACAACTGATACCTTAGACAATGCTTATTGTATTTTACGTAACTTGTAAAATCTGATATAACATGTAAAAAAAAATTAAAGTTAACTTACTTGGAACCAATAATTTTTTTTTAACGAAGACTTTTCTGCGTTCCCGTGAAGGACAGCAATATTCTGTAGCAACCCTTTTTCCTTTCCTCCGCGTGCACGTATATGCATTATTGTGTGGACGACATTCATTATCCAGAAGTAGTTGTACGTTCCATTTTCATTTGGCCACGGCGCCGTGCATTGTCTGGTCATTCATGCATGTAGAATCACCGATGAATTGTTCCCCGGGCGGGCCGGTCTTAATTATGTGGTTTTGGTTGTGTGTTTGAATATAATGGATTCAGGTTGCTGGGGAAGGCCATTATGCAATCGCTTCAGCTCTATGTTTTTGGTCCTTGTCGCAGCTCAGAGTTACTTCTCACAGGTGAATTAGTACTTTGTATGTATTAATCTTCTAAATGTTTCAAATTTTGCTGACAAATTTTTGTCATCAATATGCGCGTAATTAATTAGAATACTGATAATTAATCAATTGATTAATTAATGGCAGAAGTGGAGGTTGACAAACGTTCAGTGGGAGGTTGCGGCGGAATGGCCAGAAGGAAGAAAGGAGCCGTGGCGATCCGCATCAACTACAAAGGGATCTCAATGGTCTTCATCTCCTGCCACCTCGCTGGTAATTACCTATAATACACTTTCAATTTATATACGACGTTCAAACTATCAAGTCTAACATCAATTTAATTAGAAAATAACAATCAACGATTCTAATTTCTTGAAATGCATCCGACAGCCAAATCGTATGATATACGAAAGACATACATTAGTAAAACAAACCCGGAAAAACCTGGGATTGGCCCGGATCCGGCCTTGAAAACGGGTTAAAATAGCCTATTTGAGAGTTAGCCCGACAATGGTCAGACCCGGAAAACCTGGGCGGTTGGCCTGTCCGAGCGGGTCAGCGGGCTGCTCGTTCCAAAGTGTCGTTGAATTTTAGTTTATGTTATTTAAGTGTGTTGGAGTTTAAGTACAGTTATTTTCTTATGTTGGATTCAAAATAAGTACAATATAATGATTTTTCCCCCCATATTTTGAGCTAAATTGGGCTAAAACGGGTGTGACCCATTAACACTTGATCCACTAGCTCGACTGGTTCCGAGTCGACCTGCGGGTTTGACAACCTTGCTATCAAGTTAATTATATGTTTCTCGTGCATGCATGCAGCTCATGCCGGGAAGGTGAAGGAAAGGAATTGGGAGAGCAAGGACATAACGCACAGCCTCTTCTCCAAGAACTCCAACCCTTACTCCAGGCCAGCCCACCTCACAGTCTGGCTGGGAGATCTCAACTACAGGATCCAAGGAATCGACAACTTCCCCGTCAGGAAACTCATCCACAACGACCTCCAATCCGTAAGTACAGTACTATAGCAGCCCAAAAACAAATCAATCGATCCATGTAGCTTAGTAGTTTGTTGATGAGTTTGTTTGAAACCAATTCAACTGAACAATGTACACAGATGCTGACTGGCAACGATCAACTGCTGCAAGAAGCCGAGAGAGGACGGGTCTTCGATGGATTCTGCGAAGGCACTCTGACGTTTAAGCCGACCTACAAGTACGACACTGGAAGCAGCAACTACGATACTAGCCACAAGGTACGTACGTCGACATTGTTTGGATCTTTGTTTAGGCCAATAATAGTTTTACATAAATTAGGGTTGGGAAGCGGGTTTTCGTTTTTTCAGTTTAACCGGAAACCAAACCGTATAACCCGGTTCTTGGTTTGGTTGTCACCTTAATTGTGATGAACTTGTATATAATTAGGGCTAATATAATTACGAATCAATTGGCAGGTGCGAGTGCCGTCGTGGACGGATCGTATTTTGTTCAAGATAGAAGAAAGGGACGAGAAGATGAGTGCGAATTTGCATTCTTATGAATCCGTCGACGGTATCGACAGCTCCGATCATAAGCCCGTGAGGGCGCATCTTTGCTTGAGACTTACTGATGATAAATAAGGCCGGGCGCATGCAGTACTCGTCATCAACATCGTCGTCTTAATTACTACCAAGGACAATGTTTATAGTGTGATTAGTGTGTAAGCATATTTGATTAAATTGATTCATTTTTTTTCCTTTTCTTGGAATTGTGCTTTAATTAATAACTAGATAATTGTCCCGCGCGTTGCGGCGGGTTGTCAACACATATATCAGTCATGTAACAGTTAGATGGATCTTTTCTTAAATTGAGTGAGATGCCTTTAGAGATTGAAACTAACAATTTAGATTGTTTAGCCTTTTGATAGAAAAATGATTTTGGGTAATAATTGAGTTTTTACCATTAATCCGCAGTATTGAGTCGACGGGGATAGTACCTAATTTTGATCCTTCTTTTGATATAGATAAATATATCAAGTAATGGATACTATACTTTAAAATCAATTAAAACACATGTATTCTTATATCTAATTTCTAGGAATCTCAAGATAATTCACATTTGAACCCTAGACCATCGTTTAGTTCCAACTATTACTTATATAATGATAACAAAGTCAAATAATATTGAGCAAGCCTCATTATGTGACTATTGTATTACGATAGAATGCTGACTCATTGTGTGACTATTGTATTCTATAATTGCTTCATCTAATTAATTTATTTCTTGTCATACAAATCTCCATTGTACGTTTTTTTTTACAACCTGATTTCATTACGAAATAGGAATGTGTTACAAAGTTTGGGCCAAGCCCCGGAAAGAAGAAGACAAATCTCCATTGTACGTTGAGTTCCCTTCTTCCCTTCAAAATGTAATTGCTTCACCCTAAACTCCTGCCATCTCTTTACACGTAGTTTACATGGAAAGAAGATCAATAACATGTGTCAATAAATACGAACATAATTCAGCTCCATGACTTCCATCTCCTTCCCTTGCATGTCTCTCTCACCCAATCGAAACCGGGGAGAACATTCTTTTCTTGGACACCAGACTCTCACACATGACATGAGTGCTTCTCTCTGCGTCCCTCTTTAATTTGGGTTTACTTTCAGCAGCGCGATCTCCTGCAACCCTCATCCTCCTCGATCGCAAGTAAGATGGTCGGCTGCATGCAATGGATCTCATCAATGAATACAACTTACCCTCATTGTCTGGTTAAGCCAATTCCATAGTGATGTACAGATTGGTTGAATCCATATCCTAAGTTTTAGCGGCGCTCAAACTCAATTAGCCGCCATCCTGAAAAAATGTGGGATCTGGGAGAAGGAGAAGGAGATTCTTTGATATGATTGGCGATAAGTGTTTGGCGGGAAATGACCATCTCGGAACCTAGCTTGGCCAGCCGTCAGGGATCGTCGGAGGGGGAAAGTGGATTAAACGCCGCGCAGAGAAGCTAATAGTAGACCCGTTGTAGTAAACCCCTAATACCATAAACTCCAGGGTTGCGTCGGCCGAGATAGGGGCTCTTCGATTCTCCAGCTAGCTCCATCTTGGCCAACCTCCAGAGATTTGACGGAGGGGCAAAAGGAATGGAGACCGAACAACTCATGGGAACCGCAATTGGAAGGGATGAGCTTGCCCAATCGCCAGGCGAAAAACGAAGGGAAAAGAAAAGGTAATTAATGGGGGCGCACCAAACTTGCGGTAGACCCGCCCGCATTTGCCCAGACCCCTTAAACCAAAACTTGCGAATTAATATATCTAATGTGTAGATGAATTTTGTTTTAACGAAGGTTAGGCTCGCTGATTGATTTCTGCGCGCAACATAAGGCTTGAGGGCATTATCTGTGTACTAGTATTGATAAGTGATAACGTGATTCCGCTATAGAATTCATGTAAATGTAATATACACTATTTGATTTATCATAAACACTCTAGATAGTTAATTATCACCCGTCTTCTTTACCGTAGCTTTTAGTTACACGAACCAACACAAATAATATGAGACAGGTGATTTGGGTTTGACTCGCAGTTAAAGTCCAAGAGTTTGAATTCATTAAGAGAATAGAAGAGGTTCTTCTCTTGTTTAGCGAGGTTTCTCTCATTTAGCAAGGGTTTAAGAGCTCGTAACCTCTGTTAGGGTTTTGTCAGGACGAAATTAATCCTAAAAGTTCAAAGTATCCTACATCGTCATTATTCTATTCCTTTTACGAGTTGTAATCGAGTTATGTAAAGTGGAGTTTGGAAATCTATATATGTGTTTAGGGCTGTCCATTTGGTTTTGGTTTTTCGGTTTTAACCGAAACCAAATCAATTGGAAAGTTGATGGTTTTGGTTTTTCGGTTTTAAACCATTTAGAAACTTAATGGTTTTTATTCGGTTAAAACCAGAAAACCAATATGAACGAAACGCTTTAGATCCCTCATCCCTTTCAACGAAACGCTCACGCAACTCTTTCTTTTCGTTGCTCTGAAAATCCCTAGAACCCCTTTCGAAATCCCTAAACCCCTTTCGAACAAAATGCACTCACCTGTACACGAGGCACCTCTCTTCAGCTTCTTTTCGTTGCTCTGAATTCCTAGAACCCTTTCGAGGCACCTCTCTTCTTCTCGTTGCTCTGAAGCCGGCTATCTTTGGCAAAGGCGGAGACCTGAGTTGCTGCTCTGTGGCCGCTGATTCGGTGTCGATTGGAGAGAACTAGGTCATTGACGAATAACTCCTCGCCTTCTCCTACTCCATATTCTGTTCTGAACTTGCCGCCTTTGTTCAATGGAATCTCAGTGAGTCCCTCACATAGCTTGCTTGCATCTGTCTTCCCCTATTCGATTTGTTGATTTTTGTATTTGGGTTTCGTTTCTGCCATATTTGGGTTTCGTTTCTGCTCCGCTCGTGGATAGAACAGAAAACAGAATTCTCGTCACTAAAGTAGGAAACCCACTTCACTACTTCAGGGAGCTTTGAATTTGGGTGATCAGTGAAGTTTGTCAACTGGGCTTTCTGAAATTAGACTAATTCCATTGTAAAAAGAGTGTCTAGATTGTCCCTTCTCCCTTATGATTGCTGTTGAAAATGCCCAGCCATTAGATTGATAGGTAGCTTTGATAAGCAAATCCTGTTTTCAGGAAACGTATCTTGTGATCTTTTATAAGGGCAAGTTGGGTTTGTGTTTGGGTCGTCATTTGGGAGATTCTTCTGCTCGGCTCGTGGATAGAACAGAAAACAGATATCTCGCCATTAAAGCAGGAAACCCACTCCAGGGGAGCTTTGAACTTGGGTCATTAGTGAAGTTTGTCAACTGGGCTTTCTGAAATTAGACTAATTCCATTGTAAAAAGAGTGTTTCAATAACTCCTCGCCTTCTCCTACTCCATATTCTGTTCTGAACTTGCAGAGGACTTTCTTGATCTTCTTTTGATTGATTTTTACCGAATTCGGTCGCTTGAGCTAGTGGAGTTAGCTACGATTTAGTAGCTGAGTTTCTTTGGAATGGAGGATTGGTTAAGTTGACCTCATGCTTCTGGATTATAATTTGCGTATGGTTGTTTGCTTTATGAGTATGGTTCTCTTGAAAAGTAATGGGTCTGTCACCCTGAAAGTCTTAAAGTGATTCAATTTCTATCCTTGGAGATGTGGATGCGGATTTAAGTTGTTCTGTTCAGTATAGGGGAAACTCTTATGACTGTCTTTGACAATCCTTTTGATAGTAACTAGTAAGTGTGCATTTCTCTTTATGTACTTGATTGTGATACTAAATTCACTTTTGATATTGGCAGGGACAGTGAGATACTATTATCACAAAATGTTTCATCTAGTGCTGCTCGTCCTAGAAGTGGGCACTCCAAAAGCACCAGTATTCCGCCTAGGCCTCCTGCAACGTCTTCCTCCACTTTTGCACCATCTTCCGGTACCACCACAGTACCCAATGCTCAAACAGAAGGTGGGGGGGACAACATCGAAAAAAAGGAAAGACAGATATGATGTTTGGAGACATTTCACACACTTGGAGATGGATGGAGTGAAAAAAGCTCGATGCAATTACTGCAATAGTGCTCTTGTAGCTAACGGGACATCTACTCTATGGACCCACAAGGATAATTGTTTGGCAAAGATAGCAAGGGGTGATCTTGTAGTCGAGCTTCCGTCATCTTTTGAAGGCCAGGTACACACTCTTGGTTCTTGGCAATTTAATCAGACTGATGCTAGGAGAGCTTTAGCGGAGATGATAATTCTAGATGAATTACCATTTAGATACGTTGAACATGAAGGGTTCAAACGCTTTATGTCCCGTGTTTGTCCTATGTTTGTGCTGCCTAGCCGACAAACTGTTAGAGAAGATTGCATCAAGGTGTTTTATGAAAACAGAGATGTGTTAAAGGATTATTTCAAAGCTAAATGTTTGGGGATGGTATCTCTCACAACTGATTGTTGGACGTCTTTGTCCAATCTCAAATACATGTGTGTTACTGCATATTTCATCGGTAGGGATTGGAAGCTGTATAAGAAAATTATCAACTTTGTTCAGATAACAAAACATTCTGGAAATGAAATTGGAAAACAGTTGGCTATTTGTTTGGTGGACTGAGGCATTAGGAAGGCCTTTTGTATCACAATGGAAAATGCTAGTGTTAACGATGTGGTTGCTATCCATATGAAGCAACAGTTGAAAGAGTGGGGATAAGATATTGTGGATGGAAAGTATCTGCAGATGAGGTGTGTGGCTCAGATTATTAATTTAGCTGTGAAGGATGGGCTTAAAGAAACTGGTATATCTGTTGAGCGAGTGAGAGAGTCTGTGAAGTGGGTTAAATCTACACCAACTAGGAGCAGAAAATTCAAAGATTGCATTGAGTTTGAAAAGATAGTGTCAAAGAAATTTGTTTCGTTGGATGTAGCTACAAGGTGGAACTCAACGTATCTGATGTTGGAATCTGCAAAGCCATTTGAGAAAGCATTTCAGACATTAGCCAGAAATGAGAAGAAATTCAAGAAACATCTCAATGAAAAAAAATATGGAAAGCAAAGCCTTGGTATCCCAACTTCTAATGATTGGTCAAGTGTCAGACGGTTGATTAGTTACCTGAAGCTCTTCTATGATGTGACTGTTCGAGTTTCCGGGACTTCATATTTAACTTTACACCTCTTATTTGATGAGATATGTGAAATGTATACTACGATTTCTGAGTGGGTTGATAGTATTGATTTTGAGGTGGGTTGCATGGCTGAGAGAATCAAGTCCAAACTTGCCAAGTATTGGTTTGAAGAAGAGTGGGAGAATTCCAACAAGCATTCAGTACAGGAGGTCGAGTTTTAGATTCGTTTAGGACCTCCTTATCCCCTGAAGTTGTGGAGGCTTTGATTTGCTGTGAAGATTGGATAAGATCTTCTGACTCTGAGTTGGTGGCTGATGGAGAAGATGAGGGTGATGAAGTTGAATTTCAGAATGGTAAGAACTTATGTTTATTCTTATATTTGTTATTGTAATCAAATCATATTCTAACAAGTTATTGTTTATGTTATCTAGTATTTGTAGCTTTTCAAACTCGAAGTGCAAGTGCACCTGCAGAACCTAGTGGAAGCTCACATTCTGCCCATGTTCTGATCTCGAGTCCTACTGGGTCACAAGTCCAAGAAGATTATTTTGATGAGGATTCTGATGGGAATGATGAGACTTGTGTGGATGTAGAGTCTGATAAGGTGGAGTGATGTTAATTTCTAATTTATTTTAGACAAATACAATTATTTACTTCTATATGTTCTTATCAATATTGTTACTCAAAGTTGACATTGTGGATGTTATTAGTCTTAAATGTATTACTGGAAGGATAAAATGTTGGTAATACCATTTGTAGTATAATGTTATTAGGTGACAACTTATATAAAAGCAACCAACATGGGACATAAATACGAGCCCCAAAACCATGGCTAAGACTAACTTCCTTCCTTCCTAACTCGTATCAAAGACACAGAGCTGAAAGAGACTCTCAAAAGGGTTTCTGTTCAATCCCTGACATCCATTTAAAAAAAGAAAAACAATATAATGTTTCCTTGATTCATTGTGAACCATATATATACTATTTTTTATAAGAATGTACAAATAATAATAAAAAAATTATTTATCATGAATTTTTTTTTTTTTGTTTCTTTAGATATGCATGCCAACCAATAATTTATAATGGTCATTTTATCATTTACCATTATTATGACATTTATTCAATAAAAAGAAGGGAAATAGAAATAAATATGAGTGTATGAGTACATGTTGGTTTTGGTTTTTGCTGATTTGGTTTTTGGTTTTTCATACTTAATGGTTTGGTTAACTAAACCAAACCAAATTGACAGCCTTATATGTGTTCAAGATCTGACTCTTCACAGTAAAAGTGAGTTGATATCTCATGAATTTCATATTGATGTAGAGTTATGGCTGGTTAATGATCTCATGATTGACCAGATCAGTATGGGATAATTGGTGATATATATGGGGTTATCTCTCTGTTGGAATATGAGTGATCACGGTGATGGGAGTTTAAAGGAATGAGATATAGGAGCAGGGCTTCTGTAAATTAGGTGTTAGCAAAAGAGTACGCCACGAATGAAGGAGAGATGGGAGTGAGTTCTAAAGATGGGATCGTCCGTCACAAGGTTGAAGTAGAATTTTCTAATGGTCAACGGACATTAGTGGGTGGAGTTTGACTTTATGAGGTCAAAGAACCATTCCCAACCCAGGTTCTTGATCAGTTGGCGAACCTCCAAAGGTAGAGGTGACATAAAAAGAAACTCTAGTTCTGCTAGGATGAGAGTTTTGCAATAGACTTAGTAGTAGTCAGCCTGCCTTTCTACTGAGCGGCAGTCCGTATCGGAGTAGGCGAGCGTTTCTATTGTTTTAGCCATGGTAATTAAAGGAGATTTGAGGGTTTGAGCAGATAGATGAAACTTGTGAAAATTTTCAAAGTTGGAGAGAGATCTTGGATTAGAGATGTTTGTAGAAAGATTGAGAGGAATAAAAATGACACTAATAAGGATTCTTAATGGGAAGGAAATCCAATCGTGGGGAAGGACAGAGATAGAGAATTTTGGGGACATGTTAATCATGATTACCTTTTAGGGTAACTACTATAAAGATCTAGGTGTGGACAGGTGGTGAGTTTACCAAGTTAGAGAGATGGGAGAAGAGAGGGAAACTCAATCGTCATAGACAGCTTACCCGTGTTAACGTCAAGACCATTTGATGACTCGATATTTGCACATGTTTTCCCCTTTGTTTTTTGATCGTTTATGCTTGCATTATCGCTTCTTTGGCCTATTTTACGCTAGGTTGTGTTCCTTTGTCACATTTCAGGTCCTAGCACATAAAGTGAAGCGTAGGCGCAAGTTTCAAGTCAATCGGAGATCAATTGGCGACTCGGGGGAAGAAACTCGGGTATGACTTGAAGAAGATGGATTTCTACCTCAGTTTTTGACCATATAATCATGTAATCTTATCATAAGAAGAAAGAGGACGAGACTACGAGCGTCTGGGATCAAACGGCACCTGATTTGGAGTCCGAACGAGGGAGAAACGAAGAATCAAAGATAGGGGACCCGGAACTGCAAAATACCCGACCATAATACCCTACCGGGTATTTTGACCATCTGATAGGGTATTTTTGGTAGCATCAGAAGGCGGAGGATCATGAACCAAAAATACCCGACCGGTTCCCTAAATACCTGACCGGGGATCGCGAACACAGGCTGTTAAAAGTCTGTTTTGTGCGTTTTTGCAAGGGGGAGCTGGGTTTTGGATCCCAAACACCCAAGGGACGAACCAAAGAGAGAGAGGGAAATTTGAGGGCATTCTTGGAGTGGAATTGGAGGATTTCTTCGCCTTGGAAGCTCGAGGAACAAGCACGGACTTGAAGACTGATCATCTGAAGATTCTTACTGCAGTCTTTCTCTTCTCTATGGAGTAACTTCCCTTCACTTAGGGTTTGAGGAACCCTAGCTATGTTTGTTTGATTGGATGATTGTATGAGTACTCCTACCTGATAATCTTGAGTTCATATTCAATCTATGCACGTTTTCATGATTCAATTATGCTTTAGTCGAGATTATTGATTCTGCTTTGATCCCATGAGAGCGAATACCTGATTAGGTCAATAGAGCACCATAGATTGATAGTATTGGATCGATTGCTTTAGTCGAGGGTTGATTCAATGCTTTGTATCGATTGAGAACCTCATTCGATAGAGGGTATCTAGTTCAGAACGCCTTGATCGGTTGTTCTAGAGAAGGATACGTCCCTCTAGGCAATCGACTCAAGAGGGCCTTGATTCTTTAGTCGAGATTCAAGGTCTAGTCAAGGATTCTCCGCATTGTGAATGAAAGTGAAACAAGTTAGAAATCATCAATCATTAATCTGGCTAGTGGCTAGGGGGAATCATACCTAAGTGAGTTCCCAACCTGTAATTAGATTAACTTTAACTGTAGTTTGTTAGGGTAGTTTTAGTTCTTCCATCTTAATCTGGTTTGCTAGATAATGAAGTGAAGCTGAGTAATAGTAACTCTAGAGACCCGTGGATTCGATATTTATTACTTGAGCCACTATACTGCAGTCCCTTCCATTGGTTACACTTGGCCATTGTTAGGAGTTGTGTCATAGTGAGTCAAATTTTTGGTGCCGTTGCCGGGGACTTTCTAGATTATTAGGAAAGGCAGAAGTTTGTTGCTTTAGCGTTTTTCTTTCTTTTTCACCCTTGCTTTTCACTTGGGTGTTTTTTTTTGTTGGTGCAGATCTGAATCATGGATCCTCATGGCTTCTCCAACCATTGGGGGTATCTACCACCATCCGAGTGGTATTACCCCGAGACTCCTTGGAGCAATCAAGGAGGAGAAGACTATGGATTCGGGTTCCAGTACCAACCCCCTTACTACGAAGAACAATCAGACCCCTGGGCATATCAAGAACAACCTCCTTATCAAGAAGAATTTCTCCCACAACCAGAAGGGCCATCGGAGCTGGAGTTAGCCATGCCGGCCTTCACGGGCCATTCTGCAGAGCAATGCTACACTCCACAGCCATATCCAAACTATGAATTGAGGCTTCTCATGGAGCAATTTGCTCGAGACACTGAGAGATCATGCTCCAAGATGGATCTTTGTACCCAGGCCTATCGTGAAACAGAGGAGGACCTCTTGAGCATTAAGAAGAGCCTCAATGATCTTGAGAAATCTTATGCGCAGCCTTCTCAAGATCACCCTTCTGCTACTATACTAGAAGAGGAGGAGGAAGACGAAGGCTACAAAAACATTATGGAGCAAACAGAAGTTGTCACGGAGAGCTCCCGTGATGATCATGATTAGGAATGTTCTGTCGTAGCCCACCACACCTTCCCACATCCCACACTGAGCTTTGAAGAGGCGGGCATGAGTGAGGAGATGCAAGATGATCTCATCAAAGAAATTGTTTGGCGACTTGCCCTCCAATCCGTGTTGGAAGAAGAAGAGCAAGAAAGGGTGCAGAAAGAAGTTGTGGAGGATGACGAAAGTGAAGCAGAAGGAGTTCTTGATCTTTTCCCAGGGGTGATACCACATGAAGAAGTAAGGGGGGTTGAAGAAGCAATTGGCGTCCAGGCCGAGGACGAAGTTGAGGTGGAAGAGGCTTGCACCGACCATGAGTTACATGTGATATCTCCACCAAACTTCGAGGAACTGCTTAGCAAGGACCCATTTGCAGTGTCTCTTTGCCAGACCAAGGCCACATCGACATCGGTCCCTCTTGGTGGACGCGATGGTGGTCAATCGATGTTTTCATATCTGGTCTGGGGCAATGAGACGAGAGAAGAGAAGAAGAGGTCTCGAGGGTGGAGACTTCGTCTGCATCAAGTGCACGAGCTTCCATCACTTGTCATACCACATGTTTGTGACTTGAGACTCCACCTCATCGACGAGAACCTCAACTTCAAAGAGGTTCTGGGGTGGACCGAAACTTAGGAGTCATCGTCCAGCTCACGACGTGAAAGAAGCGCTTGTTGGGAGGCAACCCAACCATTCGGTTTGCATTTCTTTCTCTAGTTCTCCTCGGTTGAGTCAGTTTTGTTCTTTCATTTTAGAGTCAATAACTCAACCTTTGTGAGATTTTGTGTGGTGTTTGTGTTCCGACTACTCTCTCCTCCTGGAATGCACCGCCTGCCCCGTCCACCATCATTCACCCTTGATCTGGTAACTTCTTTCTACCCTCCTTATCTATCCTCCATTGAGGACAATGTCGTGCTTAAGTGTGGGGGGATGTTCGATTATGTATGCGTGTGAATGTTTGGTTGTATGTGTGTGCTTGGAGCCTAGTCCACTGTCCAAATTTTCAAATTTGAGGGATCCAAGTATGTGTTCCTTGCAAGTACCTGCTCAGTATGCTTTGAATTGACAGTATTTATAGTAATATGAAACCTAGGGAGTAGTGTAGCACCATGGAGGATGTTGATGCATTTAAGAAGTCTCCTTTCTTCTTCATATTGTGTTGGTTGATTGTGTGAATTAGTGGTCTTAGGACACTTGAATTGTGTGGTGTTGTGGACTCTCTACCTGTCATGGACTCTTGTATCATGTTTTGAAATAAAAGGTGCTAAAAAATGTGCTTCAAAATAGCGTCTCCCGTGCGAAAAGTGCAAAAGTGTGTAAGGGGAGACGGGAATCCGTTCCCAATTTCCACCTACTACCTCCAGCCCCCTTACATTTCTTTCCCCAGCACGAGGCTCGAGACATCCACTCCCGGCATGGCCGGTAAGAGCTGGGATCCCGCAAAACCATTGCTAGGTGGGAGCCCCCGCTTTCTGAAAAACAGGTTGGAACCCTTGAAAAGAAAAAGAAAACAGAAAAACAAGAAAAAAAAGGGGTTCCAACCATCTTCAAGAAGAAAATAGAGCACCTTAAAAATGT